TAGTACAGAAAATATATAACGACATTACAATACAGTTAAACTACAACATCTTTTTTGGCAATGTAAGTTTAATGAATACAACAATTTATTTAAAAACCTAACTTTAAACATGGCAAGTGGTCATAAACATATATTAACTATACTATATTTAATATCTTCCATATATGGTTACAGTGAATTTGAATCCATTACCCCTTTGACTTTTAAGCTGGATCTTCACAAATTGTTCGCCGACGCCACCAGCTAAGATAGTTGCGTAACCCCCGGTTCCATCTGTCCAGTTATCTTTTATGTCAATAGCTCTTATCAAGCCAAAATTATTATGTCCTGGTACTGAATACTCTATAGTACTAGTTCTCACAATGAATGGGAAGCCATACTTATGTTCAGTTATTCTATATAAAATCACGTCTCCATAGTTAGCCTGTCCAACTACTAGGTGGTGGCTTTGGCCGAAAGCCGCGGCGATGAAGCACACGAAGGTAAGCACTGTCAGAACACGCATTTTCCTCGTTCGTTCGCTTAACACTGAAGTGCTTATGAAAATATATTGCTTTTATATCGTTATATATATATATATATATATATATATAGATATAGATATATATATATATATATATATATATATATATATATATATATATATATATATATATATATATATATATATTTGGATGATTGTATGTAGAAATGTGACAATATTTTAGTAATTTATTATTTTTCGTTAGCATTTGTTAATCGTTCATCGTTGATATATATATTCTAAAATACTTTTTAAATTAACTAGGGCTATCTCATGATATTTGCTATTAAAAATATAGCTATCCTCTATTAGTTAGCCTTAACTTACATGTAATTACAGAAGTCTGAAATAATAGGGGTTAAAGTATGAAATTGCCGTTTTATTGTAATAAGTACTTCGATTGACATAGAACCTTCATGGTTTGAGATTTTAAAGTGAAACTTTTTTCACATGGTACCTATGTAGTTCTTCTTTAAAAAAATGTGCAACATTCGATTATTGACTTTCAGTTGTTTTTATATACAGCTTAGACAAGAAAGATGTATACTTCGGAAATTCGAGTGTTTTTTGAATACGACTTCCGACGCGGAACTAATGCGGCAGAAACAGCTCATAATATCAATGTTACGTTTGGAGAGGGGACTGCTAATGAACGCATCGTGCGATTTTGGTTTAAACGCTTTCGTGATGGAAACTTCGATTTGGTGAACAAACCACGTGGAAGACCGCTCACACAGGTGAATAACAATGAATTGAAAGAGATGGTGGAAGCCGATCCGAACCAAACTAGGCCCGGGAATTAGCGGCATGGTTTAATGTTACCTTACCAACAATATTGACTCATTTGCGTCAAATTAATAAAATAAAAAATATGAAAAATGGGTGATGTCCCATGGTAAATATACTATGTCATTCTCCAGCCCTCCAACTATCTCCATACAAAAAATCCGCCAATCCGTCATTCTGTTTCGACGTGAAAGAAGGACAGACAAACTAACTAACAAACAAACAAACACACTTTCACATTTATAATATATGTAGTATGGCTTTCAAATGCTTTTAAAGTTTTACATTATGGTATTACTTATGAGTTCGTTTATGTTATTATTTGTTCATATTTTCATTAAAAAAAGCCGAGAATATAGATAAGTTAATATACGAAATTAGAAGTTCGGTGTACCTCTACCGAGCTCAGAGCAGTGGCTCTACTTTATGAATATAAAATAAAATGTATTAAAAACTGAGACAAAAAATATTTTAAAACTATTTTCTTTTCACTCTTTATCCTGCTCTTTTTAACGTTTCACATTGCTCAATTGCATAAAGCTGACCGTGCAAACGTTACAGAAGAGTCAAGTACCCTCCAAGACAAGGCCGGTCATATGATGTAATTTTCAATAGTTTGTTTGTTTGTTTGTTTTTCTTTCACCTCGAAACGGCTTGGTGGATTGGCGTGATTTTTTGTGTGGAGATAGTTGGAGGGCTGGAGAGTGACATAGGCTACTTTTTACCGCGGGAGATTATCTCGCATCCCACGGGAAAACAATTTATAATACAATCCAAAAAAAGATTTATGATCAGAATTACTTAAAACTTGGTATTAATGCTCTTCAATACAATGAAATAAATACGTGGTTTAGTATTTTTCGAAATTCATCCCATAACTCCTTATAAAAATAGCGGATGAAAATTTGTATGAAACCTACCATTTTAAGAGGTTTTTTGTAGTTTTAGCGCGAGCGAAACCACGGGTTCTACTAGTTCTATATAAAATAAATTTAGTTTACGGATTGAGCGACTCGACTTTACTAATGCACTATTGTTTACACTATGCGATTGTGTTAGAGATTCGGTGTTCCGTAAAATTATTAACAAAAAGCATATGAACATTATTTTCTAGTCTTTGTATAAGAAAATTTGTAGCATAGTAAAGTTATTATTAATTATAATTAGGTAATAATTAATTTGCGTCTTCCAGCAATTACCCAGTATGTTGAGGTCTTATTCTTATCTCAAACTGGTCATAAAATTTCTAAAGTTAATACGGGTTGATTAAATATTTGATTGAAACCTCTGACAAAAATAGATCAACAGCGGCAGTATCGTCTATCGCCCTTAGTGCGTGAATTTTTTTCAAAACAAAGATGATGTTGACGGAATGAACGATCACTTCAATAAGTAAAGTACAGTACCACTTTGATCAATCAAAGTTGAATGTATTCAGCCCTTTTTAACGTCCCACTGCTGGGCACGGGCCTCCCTTCTATACGAGGGGGATCAGGCCATAGTCCACCACGCTGGCCAAGTGCGGGTTGGTGGACTTCACATGTCTTTTGAAAACTTGGTAGGTTTTCTCAGACGTGCAGGTTTCCTCGCGATGTTATATGTTTTCCTTCACCGTAAGACAAGTGGTAATCATGTTAGAAATGATTTGCACATGAAAATATCAGAGGTGCGAGAACCGGAATTTGAACCCACGTCACTCGGTTTCACAAGCGAGCGCGTTACCACTGGGCTACCACTGCCTTCAATTATTGTCTCTAATGGTAAATCTTGCGCGGTTAAAGTTGATGCGTTTCTAAATTTTTCGTTATCACAGTTAAGTAAGTTCGTTAAGTCTAGTGGGTTATTTTTGAAAGGTTGTTACTATTTTACAAGCTTTTATATCATATGAATTGTGTAATGTAATAAATTTTTTGGTTTAAACTTTATTTTCTTCTTTTTGGAGCATTCTGGTAAAAGCTTGTTTTTAAAAATATTTTGTACTATAAATTTTTAATTTTCAAGTGCTCGCTCCGCTAATTGTTTTTGGACAATTTAGTGTAAGTACAAATTATTGTAGACTTCAAATGTGGTGGACGATCTCATTGCATCTCGCCTTGACTTCTCCCGCGAATCTATTATGTTTTAATTAAGTTGCATCAAACATAGGTCATCAAACAATGGTTGTAAATTATCTTAAGTATAAAGAAAAGATTTTTTATGAGGACGAGGACTTATCAGGAACAAAGAAAAATTAGTTTAAATAAATGTCGATAGATGGCATTATACGTAAGTATCAATTTCTTATTAAAGTAGGAAATGAACAAAAGTTATAATTAGATCATAAAAACGTATGTTATTGTTTTTTTTTATTGATTGTTGAAAAATGAGCAATTTGATACTTAATTGGTTTTATTTTTTTAAATTTAACATTGTTAATTAATATCATTGAAATTTGTTTAATCGAATGCAGGGTGAATTTTATATTTACCATACGTTTCTTTTCACATGTTACACGTTTCATCCTTTCCGCGAGATGTACATAATATGCAGTGCCAGATTTAACCTTAGCGCCGCCCCTGGGTACAGTAAAAAATACCGCCCTATTATCGAAAATTACTTTTTTTTAATTATTAATTTTTCGAAAAATGCATATAAATAATAATTTATAAATGATATCAATTTGTCGAAAAATGTACCTACAAGTTAATCTTTTTTTTACCTTTCATTTTTTGGTAAATAAAAAAAGATTTCGATAACGCGAAGAATTTTTTTTCCCACCCTCCGAATGTTGCCGCCCCTAAAAATTTGCCACCCTGGGCACTAGCCCCGAGTGCCCCTAGTATAAATCCAGGGTTGATAATATGTAATGTGTATGTATGTCTCCGACTGCATAATACTAGGTATATTCCTTCGTCAACTTGTTTTCATCGATTTAGTTCCTTTCATGCAAGTGAGTTTTTTATATTTATAATATAATTTTTAGACTAGGTTTTTTTTATAAATTATTGCCTTTGAATAATGAGTTATTATTATAATTATAAATTAAAAATTTAAAAAGCCCCGATCGCAAATTAATTGTCATGTCACGATTATACTGGCACGCGTGAAGCACTAAATCGAAAATGCATTACATCATTTTGGAAAAGAGCTAATACTCTTACACTGCTAGACCGATATTAACCAAACGTAGCTAAGAACCACTGCAAGAAAACTGGCTTTCAAATGAAAAAAACCGCATCGAAATCGGTCCATCCGTTTGAGAGCTTCGATGCCACAGATAGACACACACACATACAGACACACACACAGACAGACAGACATCGACGTCAAACTTATCAACACCCCTCTTTTTGCGTCGGGGATTAATAAAATGTAGGTATATTTTAAAATAGTTGTCTATTCTTTTTTCTATCAAAAAAAGTATCTATTTTTATATTGATTACAATCATTATTGATTTAATAAAAAAATAAAAATGATTTTGAGGTCCATTTTTAAAAGAACTAATTCTTGTTATCTTCTCAAATAATATTTGTTTCACTTTATTTTAATATAAAGCTACTTAATACAGAAAATATATTAGGAGATTACAAAACAATTAAATTACAGCATCTTTGGTAATACATGTTTAATAAATACAATAATTTATTTAAAAACTTAACTTTAAACATGGCAAGTGGTTATAAACATAATATATTAACTATACTATATTTAATATCTTCCATATATGGTCACAGTGAAGTTGAATCCATTACCCCTTTGACTTTTAAGCTTGATCTTCACGAATCGTTGGCCGACGCCACCAGCTGAGATAGTCGGGTAACCCCCAGTTCCATCTATATAGTTATCTTTTACGAAAATAGCTCTGATATATGCAAAATTATGTTGTCCTGCTTCTGGATATTCTATAGTACTCGTTCTCACAATTAATGGGAAACCGTACTTGTATTCGTTTACTTTATATAAAATCACGTCCCCATAGTTAGCCTGTCCAACTACTAGGTCGTGGCTTTGGCAAAAAGCCGCTGCGATGAAGCACACGAAGGAGAGCACTGTCAGAACACGCATTTTCCTCGTTCGTTCGTTTAACACTGAAGTGCTAATGAAAATATATCGTTTTTTATATATATTTGGATGATTGTATGCAGGAGTGTGACAAGATTTCAATTTTTTATTGTTTTTTATTAGCATTTGTTGAACGTTCATTGTCAATTTACATGTAATTTAGGAAGTCTTCACTGAGGTCTTAAATATATTGTAATATTTGAGTAATAATATTACCTAATATCTATATTTTATAAAAAAAAGGGGTAGGTACGTAATAAAATTATAATAGCATTTTAGAAGTTACATTTCATTATTTATTTTTAAAAACAAACAACCAAATTAATATGTATAAAATTATAAGGCATAGGTATGTGCTTGCTTGTGCTAGTTATTATTACATAAACTAATAATATTTATAGTTTATCAAATATTTATAGTCATTTCAAATGCTTTTAAAGTTTATAATATATTACTAGCGACTCAATCTCGCTCCGCTCGAGTATAAACGTAATCGGGTAAAAACTATAGATTCGGACTCTGTATCGATAATAATGTCTATTTCAATTAGATTTTCCAAAAAGTATTTAATGTACAGATTCGACTTAGTTACAATTTATTATATGTATAGATTTCTCAGAGATGACATATTTTCCTGCAGTAAAAAGTATCCTACATGTTGACCCGTATAACCAGCTATCATAATACCAAATTTCATTAAAATCTGTCGAGTGGTTTCCTCGTGATGCGGTAATAGACGAAAATAGAAGTTTGGTGTACCTCTACCGAGCTCAGAGCAGTGGCACTACTTTATGACACCTATAGCACGCATACAACAAATATAAAAAATAATAATATTGTATCAAAACCTGAAACTAAGAATATTTTAAAGCAATTTTCTTTTCACTTTTCATCCTGCTTTTTTAACGCTTCACATTACTCAATTGCATAAAGCTGACCAAGCAAACATTACAGAAGAGTCATGTATCCATCAAGACAAGACCTGTCATATGACGTGTTTTTCAGTGTCGGCTTAAATAAACAAATACCTTGCTTACAATAGCTCGAATATTCCATGACTTTGTACCTAGAAATTACTCAGCTAGGAATATATTATGTACGTATAATGTAATAATATATATAATATAGTATTTGTATGACTTTCTACGCTGTTGTGCATTAAGGATTCTGACTAATAAAGGTGTTTTTACAGTTTCCTTCAGTTTGTTTCAATCACCAGAGCTGTTACGTCAAACATAATATATAGGTACATAGAAATGTTCAAAAATGAAAATATACCTATGCTAATACAATACCTTCCTATTATAGACTAGCGACTCACCCTCGCTCCGCTCGGGTTCGTCCCTAGTTATCTACGTTTCAACGTTAAGTATAGATTTCTCAGAGATGAGATATTTTCCTGTAGTAGTTGACCCGAATAACCAGCTATCATCATACCAAATTTCATCAAAATCTATCCAGTGGTTTTCCCGTGATGCGGTAACAACATACAGACAGACAAAAATTCTAAAATCTATAGATTCGGCCTCTGTATCAATAATAAAGTCTATTTCAATAAGATTTTCCAAAAAATATTTAATGTACAGATTCGGCTTAGTTACAATTTTGTTATATTTGTATACTTCATTTTCCTTATTTTTACATTACATCTCTTTTACTGTAAACAGAGAATATGGTTACTTCATACTTGGCTCGTTTTCAGTTGATACTTGAGACATCAGACACTGTGTGGAAGTAGTATCAAACAAAATGTACATTTCAAAACAAAATATTTCGATACATTTCTTAAGTTTTAAATAAAACTATTTTTTCGCATTATTTCGCGGATTTATTTGATTTTTGGTTCCCGACGTTTCGAATGCTTTACAGCAATTATGGCCACGGGATAGAATAAGGTTTTAGACGTCTCAAAGGCGTTATATACTTCTTACAGATAGAGCTTACCCACAATTTCACAAAATGTAAGGTGTTCACTATTCTTTAAAAGTATATTTATCTTTAATAATGGCATAATATTTAGGTATGAAAAAATATGATTTTGTAACTTTACGTCTCTCTCTATAACTTTTGACTCTTTCATTTCCTAAAAATATTTTTATATGTATAATCAGACTCTCATCTCTCCTATCCAAGAATACCACCCACTCCTCCAGTGACCACGTTTTATTATATTCTTTATTGCACTTAAAATATGATACAAAAAAAAACAAAGTAAACATAGTTCACAAAGGTGGACTTATCTCTAAAAGAGATCTCTTCCAGTCAACCCCTGGTTGTGGAAGAAGATGTGACTAAACATTTGCTATACCAGCAATTGAATGCGGGTGAAGCCGCGGGGTACTGCTAGTCAGTATTATAAATGTGAAAGGGATTTTGCGTTGAAATAGTTAATGGGTCAGACAAATGACGATTGGTTATGATTTTGGCAAGAGTGGCTAATCTTACTGAGATTAGCTAACTGTACTGGAGATGTTATACTGTACAAGTGTTCTGGCAAATACAAGTACACTCTTTAACCTCTTATTCTCATGCTCTCTCTCAGTGCTCTGCCTCGGCACGAAGGCGCAACACCGCTAACATCTTTGACTTGACGAAAGTATACTATAACAATAACTATACTTGGCCCGACTCGATCCCCAAACCCAGGACTTCTGGATCTGCAGTTGTACATGCTATGCAATAGAACACCGAGATAATCTTAAGCAATATAATAATTTTAATATTGACGTAATCTATACTTTTTTATTATCTTCTACACTTTTATTATCATTCATTATAAATACATACATGTAAAGTATATATTGCACGGGGATTTTTCCTTTTAACTTGTATGGTTGGGGATGTCCTTATTTCCGAAGATAATGTTAAATCTTCCGCTTATTTCTTCTTGTAATTGGAAGTTAAACGTTGTTTATGAATCATCCGTTCAAATAGACCTACAAGTATGAATCGCTGTTATCTCTAGCATTCGTAAATATCATGTACGAAATCTTTACATATAATAAAATTGTAAATAGCGTAATCTGTACATTAGATATTTTTTGGAAAATCTAATTGAAATAGACACTATTATCGATACAGAGGCTGAATCTATAGTTTTTAGAATTTTTGTCTGTCTGTCTGTTACCGCATCACAGAAAAACTACTGGAGGGATTTTAATAAAATTTGGTATGGTGATAGCTGGTTATACCGATCAACATATAGGATACTTTTTACCGCGAAAAATATCTCATTAAAAAAAAAAAACAAAAACTGCAATGCTGAGAGAATACTAATATGTAAAACCTAAGAATTGGGTTTTTGGTCATCTGAACGCGGGCGGAGCCGCGGGCAATGCTAGTAGAATATACGTTTAAACAGTTAGTATACACGTATTTGACGTGTGGGTTATTTTATGACGTGTTTTCTCGGAGAAATAAGATAAAAATAGCCTACACTCTCTAGCCCTCCAACTATCTCTACACTAAAATCACGCCAATCCGTCACTCTGTTTCGACGTGAAAGAAGAACAAACAAACATACACACTTTCACATTTATAATATTAGTATGGCTATGGATGCTATGGATATGGATTATTAAGTAATTATACTGTACACGCAAAGTATATATGGAACATAAATAAGTTAGGTTGTTTACGAAATTGATCGGTTTTTATTTCGGTCACGTTATCTACACTTGGAAATAAAAAAAAAATTGATGCGCAACAGAAAAATCGCATTGCGCGTACTATACAGTGTGATAACTTTATTTTATGTGGTGGAAGTTATTACATTAATTTTTGGTATTATTTTAAACTGTACCCTTGACCATGTTTTACTTTATCTTTATATCGTATATTAATACTAATATTATAAAGAGGTAAAGTTTGTGAGTTTCTGAGGTGGTAGAGGGTAGTCTCTGGATCTACTGAACCGATTTAGATGAAATTTGGTAAGAATATAGTTTGAGACCCTGAAAAGGATATAGGATAGTTTTTATCTCAGATATCATCCCGTAAGGGGGTGAAAATGGGGATGAAAGTTTGTATGGGGAATCAATCGAAGGGGCGAACGAAAGTGAGGGTGAATCGCTAGTGAGATATAAAATACTTTTCCTGGTAATCTTGAATATCATGACAATTGCTTTAAGAAAGAAATACTATTCTACGACTGCGACAAATTTTAATGGGCCTCTTATCTTGCAGGTAGTGCTCAAAAAATACAAATGAATATTTATTTATATGACCGGTTTCTATAATCAATAACTCAGTAAACAGCTGAGATCTCTTGTTTACTTTCAGTCAGTCTCAGTACAGGTGCTTTTTAGAATAATAACCTGTCTTCTATGGTTCTCTTTACTAGAGGTAAAAATTTACATTTTTGTATGGAGCTTATGTGAAATAAATATATAATACAAATACGTTGGAACATTAATACACAGCACCATCTAGTTCCATGGTAAGCTAGGAGGCTTGTGTTATGGATACCAGATAGCTGATACACTACATATATATAAACTTTAAATACATACATATTATAAATATAAACACCATGACTGGAGTACAAACATTCGTGCTCATCACACAATGAATGCTCCCAGCGGGACTCGAACCCGCGACCGCTGGCACAGCAAGTAGGGTCACTACACACTGAGTGTCGTCAAAAAACCAAAAGTGTCGTCAATGTTTATCCGGAGTGTCTATTCGTCCTTTAATAAGACGAATAAAAAATAATTTTTCGTCATTTATAAAATATATAAATTATAAGGAAGGACGAATAAACTAATAAGTAAGTAGAATAAGTAGCTCGACTCAGCTCGGTAGGTTAAGATTATTTTTTTGCATACAGAAACTTCTGCACCTACAATTAATTTTTAATCTTAAAACTCTTGAACTCAAAAATCGTTGGGACTTAAAAGAATAACTTTTCAGTACAGAAGGTTAACACCTCGCGGTTAAATTCTAAGAAATTAATTGTTAACCGAACCACCTGTGGCTCCGCGTGCTTTGAACGGTTGAGGCAATTTTTATTGCATATAGAAACTCCTGCACCCAAAAATCACTTTTTCACATAAAAATCCTTGAACTTAAAAATCGTTGGGATTTAAAAGAATAACTTTTCAGCTCGGTAAGTTAGGTGTTTTTTTTTGCATATGGTAACTCCTACACACTAAAAATCACTTATTTTACATAAGAAAATAAAAAAAGGTAAATATTCGCACAAACTAACAATAGTCGGACGAATAATATTTCAGCCTCGTTCATCACTAGTAATGTAAAAAAAACTTAAAAAAAAACTGTTTTCCAGGCACTAAAGTGTAAAAAATAACTGAACGGGGGGTTTCATTTAGAATAGATACCTAATCAGATATTTTCGAAGTCGGTGCCAGCCGACGCATAGGAAATCTAATATATTTTGATACGTAAAATACATATTTACCTATTAGATATTCATATCTTAAAATATTATGCGCTGGCACCGACTCTCTTTTCTCTCATTGTTAAATAAGTCTACCACTCATCATGCTTCCATAATTAATAATGTAAATCCAAATTATGGCCTCTGTAAAGACAACATCTGTGTATTTTTTATGTTAAGGTTAAGCTGTGGATTTTGTATAACAAATGAATAAAATAAATATTTTTTTTAACAAACAGACATGTAGTAATAATATATGTATACAGCCATTTGATCGCATAATACGAGTTTTGATGTCTCTTAAGTAAAGTTATTAATATTTTAATTCATTCATGTGACATTTACACATCTACGTGTTAATTCTTTACTAAAGTAGCTTAACTTTATACCATAGTTCCATCATTGATATTTCAAACTTTTTTAGCTATGGACGTATCGAAAATGTCCCTAAATTCGTTAACAGTTGTGTTTTTGTTAATAGTACATATACACTGCAACGACTTGTTCCTGGGATATCCCGATTTATCATCGACGCTTATTTATAGCAAAGTCCACCAAGAAAATCCGGCTTTCTGGGTCAGATCGGAAACATTTACAGTTAATTGCACCAAAAGTGAAGTTATAAATGCAATTAAAATTCAAGACTTGAGAGATGATAAGTATGGAGAGGTGTATATAAAAGATGGCGGTATTGGACAGAAATTTGTGACGATAGAACTGGACAGTCCGAGTATATTCCGCGGATACAATTTCTTAGTTGAAGTCTACGCGATAGAAGCCAATTTTTTCTTTGATAATCACGGCAAGTGACCTCATTTTAAATCCTCAACGCAAAACTTGGGGTGTTATAAGTTTAACGTGTGTATCTGCGTGTCTGTCTGTGGCTTTGTAGCGCCCAAATGGATTTTAATGTAGTTTGTTTTGTTTGAAAGGTGACTTAATCGAGAGTGTTCTTAGTTATAAATCAAGAAAATTCGTTCAGCAGTTAGTAGGCTACCAGCTTTTTTTAAACGGTAAAAGAATATGAGCAACTTCCACAAATCAAATTGATCCTAAGAAGAATGATACTAAGAAGTAATGGGAAACCAAAAGTTTCCCATTACTTCGATGACGTTGGTACGATATGGTACCTTGGCCTAATGCTGCAGTGTCATCTGGATCTGCAAGAAGGTATTTTTGAAATTTTTAATTTAATATGATTAATTGCAATGTTTTGTAATTTTTTTAAAATAAATTACATAAGGTATTGCCTTGTTTTTTATTACCTATTAGATTAGTTATTTTTATAACTTTATAATAATTTTGTAGTACCTATTTATATTGATATACCTACTTTAACGTAGTACCTAATACTTATCTAATTTATAGATATTTGCCCCCATACATTCTACAAGGAAAATAGTTGAGTACATGACGTCATCCAAATACTTAAACTACATAATATTGTTTATGATCCATATTATATTATGTACACTTGCCCTTGAATCTATTGTACGTAAGTGTTAAATAAATGTGGTCTCATTTGCAATAGAACTATACAAAATATTACTCACTACGTATAGATACCTGATGAGTGATATATATATATATATATATACATATATATATATATATATATACATGGTCAACTTTTTTCAACAGTCTCGGAAAAATATGAACGAGGTGTCATTCGATTCGGAACAAGTTCTGCTTGCAAAAATTGCCAATGTTATAACTTAATTATCATTATTAACTAAGAAGAAGCGGGGTTTAGTTTTTTGCAAATATCTCAAATCCAAAAAAAGATTCATATTTATAATTTTTCATAACAATTTTTTAATTTTTCCTACGGGAATCTTTTCTGAAGCCTTTTAAGAATAGCTCCAAGAAACAAAAAAAAATTCAAAGTTATATTTTAACAATTATCACACTTGCAATGTTGATGTTCAAGCAGTAAAAAAAAATTATATTAATTAACTATTGCATAAAACATGCAGTGAGGCCCTGATTTTTCATTTCTTAAATTTTATATTTTATATTTATTGATAAAGTGCCGAAGTAGGCGTAACCCAGAGCATCCATTTTCGACTCTGGGAAGATTATAAATATTGGTTCTACTGCAGTTCCGAAAGTCCAATTTTCTTAGGAAATTTCCTCCTCTTATTGAATCTTTTTTAGATTTGAAAAATCTCAATTAGTTTTTGAGATATTTGCAAAAAAATTACCGCCTTTATTTAGTTAATTGTTTAAAGCTTTTGCAATTTTTGCAAGCGGAACTAGATTTTTTTCAAAAATGACCATGCCATTCCGAATTGAATAACACCTCGTTCATATTTTTCCGAGACTAATGAAAAAAATTGACCAAAAAGGCACTTTTAGACTACACTAAGAACACGAGGCCATATTTTTTTTAATCACTAGGTAAATTCTTATATTATTGTTATCAAAGTCTATTCATAAGGACGCCTTCCAACATAAACAAACAAGCGTATATTAACATTTATTTTATTTATTTATTTAGGATCGTCAATAAAAATACATTATTACATGGCAATTCAAAATATGCTATTAGTAGTTCATTATTAAATGCTTTTCCACTTACAGACAATCACAGCACGCACAATTGTAAAAATAAAATAAAAGTTAAAATAAAATTTAAGTATCTATTCAGAAACTAAAATAATAATAAATGCCATACAACACGAAGAAATTATATTAATTAGAATAATAAATAAAATTATAACAATACAAGAAAATTAAATGAAATGTAAACAAAATAACTAACAAAAATTAAATTTTCCATCGTCACACTGAGTCATTTAGCTTGTTTTATTTATAAATATTTACTTAAATTAAATAAGTCGTGGGCAATGTCTAAGTAACAGATTAGATTCGTCACATAACATGTTTTTTATAGTTTTATTTGGTGTTCTTTGGTATCCCACCAACGTGCATTCACCTGGTCGTGGTAGGGCGAGGCTTCACTAGCGTCTGGCAGTTCAGCCGGGCGCGATGCCAAACAACGCACTGGAAGGTGGCCCACTTTGGTTGGCGGTGTACCATGCGGGTTGCTCCTGGTACTTCTCTGACGGCAGAGTGGACCGTGGGAACAACCCCGTGGTTATTGTGGTCTGCTTCGGCAGAACTGCCGTCGGGGCGTCTTGGTTGAGTGCGTAAGCGATCCTGCAACATCCCACTAAGACGGAGGAGGTTTTGTTAGATTTCAGTGGGTGGTACTAGATTTTCTAATCCGGTGAGTCCCATACATAACCACCTGTTTGTTTACAGGTGGTATGCGTAAATGCATTTTCCAACATAAAAAAGCTGTTCTTTGGTAGGTTACTTATGGTAAATATTTAGAATCTAAGAGACTTTTATGTATTAACTTGTCATTAGCTATGTATAAAAATAAGTAGTTTTTATATATTAATATAAAATATAGGGAAATAATAGGTAATAGATACATATGAAAACGATTTGGAATTCTTCGTGAAACTTTGATATGCCACAACAAAAATTATAACATGTATATCAGTTTTTATACTTAAGTTTAAACACAAAGCACAAAAAAAACTTAACACGTATAAAAAAAAACGTTGAGCGTCAAGCATAGTATCATCACAACAATGTACTATTAATTATCACAATATTAAAACACAGATTTTATGAAAAAGTATTTAATTAGATTAGATAAAAAATTAGACATTATTAAGGAAACTTATACATATATTAAATTACACATATACTTATTAATAGTTTCCTTAATAATGTCAATTTTGTTCCAAAAAATCTTATAAATACGAAAAATTGCTACTTTTACGTCCTCGGTAACTTTGGAACCGTTCACTTTAGCAAGATTATGCACGGGAACATTTTTGTTCACAATTTATTATAGATTATTTTTGTATATGCCACTTTTTGCGCTAAGCCGAATAGTTTACGAAATTTTTAAGAAAAAACCGATGAAAGCTTCTAATTTACCAACTTATAACTCCGTCCCCCCAAACCCGATGCTGAAAATTGTTTAACTTTTTACCAAACAATATTGTGGACTATATAGAACAATTTGGAGCTGGAAACTTTTACTTTGGATGTTGAGGTTTGGGTCTAATTGCACTGTACTAATAGTATTCTTTCATCTTCTTACCGTGTTTCCCAATAACCCATCTTCTATGGTTCTCCTTAATAAAGGTTGAAATTTAACATATTTTATATGTAGCTTATGTCAAATGTTTATCACTAGTAAGGTAAACAAAAGATAGATAGTTTATTAGAATTCCCCGCTGATTTTCAAGTCATGTGTACTTAATCATTTTTATTCTGCTCAAAAACCAGCAAAACGAAGGTAAAGGTAACAAAGGACATCGAATAATAATATTTCCTCAATGATGTCATTATTAAAAACCTGACTTGAATAACAATTAAATAATACAACGGCTCGTAAACTTAAAACAATTTAAATTCTTAATATTTTCTTGCAAATTGTGTATCAGTGTATGTCGGTACTATACCCCCTTTACTAAATAGCCTTGAGTTGGGGTCCTCCGAAAATACTTCGATTTCAAATTTATATCCTCTCAGTATTGAGGGACTTCTTATTCCAATTGTCACACTTTTACCACCAACACCTCCACTTTCTATGACCGCTTCTCCATCTTTATTTTCTCGTAAATCAGTTACATACACTGCCGTTATTATTTCGTTATTTGGCGCATTGATGACTATATCATCTGTTCTTCGCCATAATGCTGAATTAGCCTCTTTTATATCGCCAAATATCTTCCTTGAGTGAGTCGATGTGTATCCTTGTCGAATGTCATTCGCAATAACAGATAGTGTGCAAATAAACAAAATAGTTAATAATTTCAACATTTTGTTCACAATTCTTGAAAACAAATGATATATTTAGAGGGATCTGTCGCTTTTATACTTCTAGCTATGGAAGTTTTCTATGAGATCACGATTTGACAGTAAACAACTAAATTATCTATTTGTAGAATTATTATTGAAGTCAATTTAGAATCTAATTTTACGCAGAATGTACTTAAAGAAGTTTCATGACTTTGCTTCCGTTTTGTTTACGTTCATTATCTAATGTATAAACAAAGTCTAATTTGGTAAATCTTATTATGAACATATTTGTTCATAGCCATAAAGAAATTTTATGCAAACTAAAATTAAAGTCATTTTTCAGACAAAGACACATTAAGCTAGTCTAGACGTTTTGATTGATTATGAATTATTATGTAAATAGGTCTTAATCACTTGCTATTGTACTGAAATTCCGTAAAATTTCTTTATAAACTTGAAATATATTGTCGGTATAATACTTTGGTTGTTAAAATATTTTTTAAACAAACGGACGTGTAGTAATTATATATAGCTATTTGATCGCATAGTATGGGTTTTCATGTCTCATATGTTAAGTAATTAGCACTTTAATTCATTCATGTGATATTATATTTTTACATCTACGTGTTAATTCCTTACTTACATAGCTTTATACCATAGTTCCATCATTGATATTTCAAACTTTTTTAGTTATGGACGTATCAAAAATGTCCCTAATATCGATAGCAGGTGTGTTTTTATTAATAGTGCATGTAGATTGCCACGACTTGTTCCTGGGATATCCCGACTTATCATCGAAGCTTATTTATAGCAAAGTTCACCAAGAAAATCCGGCTTTGTGGGTCAGATCGGACACATTTACAGTTAATTGCACCAAAAGTGAAGTTATAAATGCAGTTAAAATTCTAGATTTGAGAGATGATAAGTGGGGAGAGGTGTATGTAAGAGATGGCGGTATCGGACAGAAGTTTGTGACGATAGAACTGAACAGTCCGAGTATATTCCGCGGATACAATTTCTTAGTTGAAGTCTACGCGATAGAAACTAATTATTTCATTCATAATCATGGCAAATGACCTCATTTTTAATTGCAATATTTTATAACTTGTTTTTAATAAACTTTAACACATATTGCCTTGTTTTTTTATTACCTATTGCATTCGTTATTTTTATAACTTTATAATAATTTAGTAATATTTGAATTGATATTCATACAATAACACAGTACCAAATATTTTAGATAAAACTATCTTTTAGGATTTATTTTGATTTTTGGTTCCCGACGTTTCGAATGCTTTACAGCATCAAAATAAATCCGCGAAATAATCCGAAAAGATAGTTTTATTTAAAATGGTCAAATATTCGCGTAAATCTAAGAAAGTATTACAGTACCTAATACTTATCTAATTTCTAGATATTTGCCCCCATACATTCTACAAGGAAAATATGTAGTTGAGTATATGACGTCATCCAAATACTTAAATTACTTACATAATATTATTTATGATCCATATATTATATACACTTGCCCTTGAATCTATTGGATGTAAGTGTTAAATAAATCAAGTCACATTTGCAATATACAAAACTATACAAAAAATTACTTCGTATAGGTATCTAATGAGTGACGTATATAATACTGTTGTTGTTTAGAATATAATGCTATTTATATTTTAATTACTATATTGTTCTATTATTGTTATAAAAATCACAAGGTGTATGTATGCCTTCCAACATAAATACATATGTATTATACATATAAGCTTATATTAAAATGTTTTTGTTATATCTTTATTAGGTGTTTATTTATGTTTATTATTTAGAATAAAAAAATCAGGGATTGAAACAATTTTTTTTTTGCAAAAGTCTTCAACTATAACTGTTTAAAAATAACTTTTATCAACAAGTGGTTAGTGATAAAAGTTTTTTGATAACTGTTAAATAAAAGTTCTAGCATAAAAAAGTTTTAACTTTTTTAATATCTATATAATTATCACAAAAAAGTTTTTGTTAAACTTTCACTTATTTATTCTTTATATAAAAAAAGTAAAAAAAATATATGATAGAAGGTCATTATTATTAAATCTAATTAACTTCGGTGATCTATTAAAATATTTCTAAGTTAATATAAAGGTCATTTTAAAGTATAAGATTTTACTTGCTAATCACAATTTTATTGAATGTAATCTTAATTTTCTTTTTTTAGTTATCATAATATTCTCTTGTCTCAAAGCTTAATAGTTAATATTAATACTCTCTGTACTAATAGATTTTCGAGTAAATGGTTTATAATAACAGTTAAAAAAACTTTCATGATTTAAGTTAGAAAAAAAAGTTTTGGAAATAACTGTTTTGAAATTACTTCTATAAATAGATAAAAGTAAAAGTAAAAAAAAATTTTTAATTATTAAATAATAATTTTTTTTATTAACAATAAATTTTTAAACTTAAGCTCAATCACAAAACACAAAAAACGTAAATTTTAATCTTATCGCGTATAATAACAAAAAAACGTCGAGCGTCAAGCATTCTATCGTCACAACAACCTAATATTGACACAATATTAAAACACAGATATGGTGGAAACGTATTTATTTACACAAAATTATTATAACAAAGTCCTCTTTAATTTAATACACAAATCAGGCGTAGATTCCTATAACATATTTATAACCTGATCCCCTTTCGCTTTTTAACTTGATGTCCACAAAAGCGAATCCTAGCCCTCCACGAGTTATGGATGCCTCAGCCAGACCATTGTCTAGATCTTGTATAGCAATACCTTTAATCTTCTGATCGCCTACTGGGTACTCAAAGTGCACTTCGTCCTCACGCTTAAATAAAGGTATGGCGTTTTTTTCTATAGTTTTCTCATAAACCCTTCTTACGCCATTGTATTCACTAACTTGGCCTACAATCACAGATTTTGTCACAACTACAGATATAAAAGCACAGAAAAGGACTGCTCTTAGAAACATGTTGACGGTTTGAATTAATGTTATGAAGTAATGACAAATCTTGTACGAGAAGGAAAGAGCGGGAGGTCATATGAGTAAGTCGAGTAGTTTACCGGAACAATTAAGCCGAGATTACATGGCGTTAAAGGAATGCATCACGACAGTAATATTATTTATGTAATGTTATTTACTTTTTATATAATTTTATCAACTTAAACTTTTTAATGCAATACGTTAGTCATTTTATTTTCAGTTGACGTGGATGGTGAAATCAAAAAAATAATAATAGCGTAAAATGTTCAACAGATTATCAAAGCTGGATTGTAAAAAAAAAGAAACGAAATGTGGTCAATAAGATTTGTGAAAAATTATTTTTCACAGCATCACCTCGCAGTAGTATTCAACATGCATTCAAAATACCTTACACAGATTATTATAGCTAAAAAAAAGTATAGTGAAACTCAACTTTAACTAATGGAATTACATATTAATATTATTTAGAAAATTGAAAAATTGAATGAAATGTTTCAATTGTGCCTTCTTGTAAACTTTAAATATATTTTAAACCACATAGCTTTTTTCTATCAATGACACATCGAGAAGGCTTTAGACGCAGAATAAGACCTTCGAGAAATTTCTATCATCTGGGCTGTCGCGAGATAAGCATCTTCTTTTGCCGAAATATTCTAACTTTGTTGCGAGACATGTTTGTATTATTTGAAAAAATCAATAAAATTAAAAAACCTATTATATAAACATGTATATAATTTTACATTTAAATGTTTAGGGTACCTACTATTTAAAATAAAATTATAGTTACAGAAAAACGACATTTTCAACAGCTTATTGCAATATTTCTCGGAAGCCGTTAGTTAATTATAGTTAATTAATAATAATTTAGCTGTAAAGTCTAATCTAAAGTTTCGTCAAAATCCATTAAGTAAGTACTTTTTGCGTCGTAAAAACACACACATTCACCTATACATCCTTACATTATCATACACCCATCCTTACAAATGATATATTTGTATGAGTGATTCTATATTTGTATTATAACATATTTTGTATTATGTATCTTTATAAATGGTTAAAGAATTGTTTCACGAAATGTACTTACCTAAACTTTATCTCTTTATTTAGTTATAACTTATAATACATAAATGAGCAAGCTGTCGTCTTCTATAAGTTAAGGAGCACACATATTGTAAGTCTTAATAACTTTTTATGCTCTTAAATGATGTATAGTGTAATAATAATAATAAATAATAAATATGTTAGGAAATTAACACACATCACCATCTAGTTCCATGGTAAGCTACGAGGCCTGTGCTATGGATACCAGATAGTTGATACAATACACATATATAACTTTAAATACATACATACATACATATATAAATGTAAACACCCATGACTGGAGTACAAACATATTTTGTGCTCATCACACAAGTGAATGTCCACAGCGGGACTCGAACCCGCGACCGCTGGCGCAGCAAGTAGGGTAACTACAAACTGAGCCAAACGTGTCGTCAAAAATAAAATAAAAGAAAAACCATGACTCCTTTATAATCGTGTATTATAATAATAAGTTGTCTATTGAATTTTTTGTGCATTGAATTCACGTAAAATATCCGCCACCATATAAACGTATCACAAAGCGTCCATTTACATTATCGCATCAACAAAACTGGAAGCCGGACAGAGGTCACTTATCAGGCCATTTGTAAATTACGCAAATTTCATCCCTACTGCTGCGAGATACGCATCACTGTTACATTAATTTGTGTAATGTGTTGCTTGTTTGAATTCGCGGTAACATATAGTGTACCTATTGAAATCGCTTTTATACTGATTGGGATAGGTACGTAAAGTTATGTTTGAACAAGCCGCTATCCCATAAATGCTATCGACGATAGCCTTATCGTTCATAGAAAACTAATAGTGAATGAAAATAACATATATAAGTGAAAAGATAATATAGACTAACGTTAGTTCTCAAAAACCTATCTATCTGTGTATTTCTTTACTAACAGTAAGAATTTGACGATTTCTATAGAGTTTATCAAGTATCAATTCAATTTTCTTGTTAATAGCTTCAAAACGTGTCAGCTGAGCACAGATTATTTCGCCAATGTCACGTAGATTGGAGAACGAAGGAATGTCAAACATCCATCTCTATTAGGTAATACTATAGAGTACAGGCAGAGTGGGGATTGAGAACCGCCTAAGTGTTGGGCCACATGGTTAAAATATGACACTCCCATATATTTTTAAATGCTTTATAAGACATAGATATTTGTTGTAGAAAGTTAACTTTGTAAGGGCGGTATTTGACTGACTTTAAAAAAGAAAATATAATATTTAATTCGGGTTACACATACCTAATTTTGGTGTGTTGCTACACAATAGGTATTTTCCTCAGTTTTGAACCAATTTTCACAAAAAAAAATTATGGATAATAACTTTAGATCATACTATTTTAGGGAAAAATATAATATAACTAGCATTGCCCGCGGCTCCGCCCGCGTTCAGATGACCCAAAAGCACATTCTTAGGTTTTACATATTAGTATACTTTTACATTGCAGTTTTTGTATTGTTTCTCAAAAATGAGATATTTTCCCGCGGTAAAAAGTATCCTAAATGTTGACCTGGATAACCAGCTATCACCATACTAAATTTCATCAAAATCGCTCCGGTGGTTTTTCTGTGATGCGGTAACAGACAGACAGACAGACAGACAAAAATTGCAAACACTATAGATTCGTCCTCTGTATCGATAATAATGTTTATTTCAATAAGATTTTCCAAAAAATATTTAATGTACAGATTCGGCTTAGTTACAATTATTATATGTATAGATATGTACATATTTATTGATATTCCCATCCATAGGTATATCTAGTGCTTCATTATGTTTTTCTAATTTTCATCCTCTATCTATCGTAGATAAAATAATATTTTTATCGCGATACGATTGTCGAAAATAGCATTACTCATGTTATCTAAATTTATCAGTCACGAAACATCACGCTTACGCGAGAACATTAATAAAAAAAAGTTAACATCGTAAATTAATTATAGATCACAGATTATTTAAAAAAATATAATCATAGATATCAAAATGGCGGGATATTTTATAATTTTTGTGTCATTATTGTTAGTCAAAGTAGTGAATACAAAAAGTGTTTTCCTAGGAACAAGACAAGCCGGTGACAAATTAATACATAAAAGTGAACATGTAAAAATACCTTATTTTATTCGCACATCAGACATGGCATTTCCAAAATATAACGAAGAAAGTGATAATGTAATAACAGCAATTAATATTATAGACAATTCAGAAGAAGGGGCGAGTGCTGAAGTCGATTATGGCGGTATTGGATATACTTATGCTAACGTTCATTTGAGAAGTGGTTTTTGGTGTGGTTTTAATTTTACAGTGGAAATATATGGTTTGAAATAACCCACTGTTGTTTTTTTTTCTCTTTATGGCTTAGAGCTGCGTCGACAGACGCAATTCATTCTGCCAGTGTCACGTTTTGTGAGGAAGATGTGAATGAGATTGAGCGGTAATTTTGAAATTTAGCAGCTTTAATGTGGAATTAAAAATATATATGAATGATCGGTCTACAGGAGTAACCTACAACAATAGAAAGATAATTATTAGATACGCAATATAAACATGGTACAATGATTGAAAATGAAAATATATAAGTAATGAGAACTATATTATGATTTAATTTTATTATCTACTATATATCGAACTTTTTTTTAATAAATGGGCTAAACGCAAGGGATAATAAACATTTGGTGTTGACTGGGCGGTGAATGCCCACTATTGTTTAATTATATCAAGTAGGTAAATTTCGTTTCAATAAACAAATCAAGTGGACTCAATGACGTACCTATCTATTATAATTCGAAAAGAATATATTAAAGAAATACATTGTAAGAAAAGATTTTTTGCTGTTTTTAAACTATTAATTACTTAATAAAACGCCTTTTAATTTTATATAGCAACTATGTATGTTTAACGTAACTCAAATTGTAATATATTTCTACTTATTAATAAAAAATACAATGAATTACAACACTATTGAGAGTATAATAGGCGTATATACTAGACGCCTATTATAAAAATGGATTGACCGTACTATTATACATTATAAAATATAAATGAAAGGTTCTTACTGAGTTTTTTAAAGCCTCGACCTCATAAATTACAAAAATATAAATAATTTGAACTAAACTAAATAAAGGATTACCTAGGTAATCACTAATGGAATAAATATTTTATTTCCTTTTTAAATTATAATGTTGTTATAATTATAACTCAAGTATATTATTAGAATAAGATAAATAAAGTATTTATTTATTACCCTAATATAATAAGATACGTGAGAAATATAGGCTGAGGTTTGTTGAACATAACTTTATGTTAATTTTACTTTTAACGTTATATTACTGGGGCAGATATTACTATCACATTTCCATCTATCCCATCTGTGCATTAAATATTTTTTTGGAAAATCTTATTGAAATACTCATTATTATCAATACAGAGGCCGAATCTCTAGTTTTTAAAATTTTTGTTTGTCTGTCTGTGACCGCATCACGAGAGAACCACTGGACAGATTTTGATGAAATTTGGTATGATGATAACTGGTTATGCGGGTCAATATACATTTACGGGATAGGTACTTTTTACTGCGGGAAAATATCTCATTTCTGAGAAATCTATACTAAACGTTAAAAGAAATATTGCCATAAAATTATGTATATACCTACCTATTGATGGTAAAAAGATCTTACGGAGAAAATAAAAAAGTAGAGAGTATGATACTCACTTTGTCCTCCTTTAATCTATTTATACATACACGCCCGTGACTGACTGATGAGATATATGTAACTCGTATGCCTAATAAGTCTGGGTTCGGTTAAAATTACAAAATGGATGTTTAATTAGAAAGTACATAATATGAATGTTTGTAATGTATAGTTATTTTATAATTCAGCGATAAAAATGTTATTTACTTTTTTTTATTGATTTTATTTGATTTTATTTGTACAATATAAACAATTATATGAGTTTTTTTACAAACCATACAGTTGGTCATCCTTATAGAATTTACAGCGGCACAAAAACATGAATACTGAACAGATATCATCCTTGATTAAAGTATTTTATATTTATTTAAATTTTTCAACAGCTCGATATAATTCCACTATCGACAGATGAATATAATAGACCGATACAATAGTCAAGTGGTCTAATGAGGGTACGTCATGGGAACCTTCTCGTAACCGGTTTGTTCTTTATTAATTCGGAATTCTTCGATTTGTTGAAAAAGATTTATTTTGAAAGAACTCATTTATGGATTGACTTTAGGAGTAAGGTTTAAGTAGTTTTATAATATTACTAGCGGCCCACCCTCGCTTCGTTCGGGTTCGTCCCTAGGTACATTTTAACGGTTAGTATGGAATAGATAGACTATATATTATATTATATTATATATATATAATATAATACATATATATATATATATATGTATATGTATATATATAGGTATGATAAGTTGTTGTAGGTTCTATTATAACGTATTTTCCCGTAGGAATGAGTAAAAAGTATGTAACTCTCTAGCCCTCCAACTATGTCCATACAAAAAATCACGTCAATCCGTCTCTCTGTTTCGACGTGAAAGGACACACACAAACAAAGTAGTAATATAATATTACTAATTTTGTTTGTTTGTGCGTGCGTGCGTGCGTGCGTGCGTGCGTGAGCGCGTGCGTTTGTACGTGCGTGCGTTCGTGCGTGCGTGTGTGTGTGTAATATTACTTACACATCCAGGTAAATTTCTAAAAAATCTATTGTTAACTGTAACGTAAGTAAATATAATATATGTATGTTATTTATAAGATATCTCAAAAAATCACAAATAGCAATTTAAAGTCGCTCATCTCTATGTGACGTCATTATTATCGAACTCATTGCCGTATAAATCGATCTTTGATAAAATATCGCATTATCCTTTCACAAAGCATTATATCATTATAATAAAAAGTAAAATAATTGTCTGAAATAAATAGCAATTAGCAAATGCATATATCACCATTATAAGGGTTCTATTTTTTCGTTTTGGCAAAGAAATATTAAAAAAGAAGGCATCCTATGATGTACATTTCGTATTCTATATATCTATATACATTATTATAATAAAATTCTAACTGAGTCGTATCTGTACATTAAATATTTTTTGAAAAATCTTATTTAAATAGTCATTATTATCGATACAGAGGTAAAATCTATAGTTTTTAGATATTTTGTCTGTCTGTTTGTCTGTGACCGCATCATGAGAAAACTACTGGACAGATTTTGATGAAATTTGCCATGATGATAGTTGGTTACCCGGGTTAAGATATAGGATACATTTTACTACGGGAAAATATCTCATCTCTGAGGAGTCCATACAGGGTAACTAGGGACGAACCCGAGCGTAGCGAGGATGAGTCGCTAGTATAAATATAAATTAATAATATACAGATAACCATTATAAATAATCCTATCTTACTGTCTTATAAGTTATTTATTAATTATCAGATAATAACAAAAATATTATCTTATAACGATACACATTTACGTTATTGTTAACTAATTAATAATACGTGGCTGTGTATTCATTGATCTATAATGTTTTAATAATTTAAAAATAAAAAAGGCATATTAACTAAATAGTATTATTATGCAAAGAGGTTATTATGAATAAAAAAATATTTATATTTTTATTTGTTTGTGTGTATCTGTGCCAAGTAACAAAGTCAATTGATGTGGATACTATTTTTGAAATAAAAGAAAAAGATTACTTCGATAATGAATCAGCCAGAAGTGGAATGCTAAATGGTAATTTATTCAAAACTGTCAAGCAGTATTACTGTCGTGTGGATACTGGGGAAGGTACTGTAATTGTTTTGTTATAATTATTTATTTAGTACTTTTGATATGTACTGGTTATGGCAAAGTCAGATAACAAAAGATATAAATGTTACATATTATTTTATTTAGTCAGTGTTTTACACGTAAATATGATTATATAAAATAATGTAATTCAGCCCTTTTTTTTACCTTTCACCACACTGACAAAAAGTTTGGTGGACTTTACATGCTTTTTATGAACTGGTTAGGTTCTTTCAGGCATGGTGGTTGAAAACTAAATAATCCATACTAATATTATAAAATAGAAAATTTGTTTGTTTGTCCTTCTTTCACGTCTAAACGGAGTGACGGATTGGCCTGATTTTTTGTGTGGCGATTGTTGGAGGGCTGGAGAGTGACTTAGACTACTTTTTAACGCGGTAGATTAACTCATTCCCAAGGGAAAACACGTTATAATAGAAACCCAAAAAATATTTATGATCAGAATTACTCGAAAATTGGCATTAATACTCTTCAATACAATTAAATAAATACGTGTTTTAGCATTTTTCTAAATTCATCTCTTAAGGGATGAAAAAAATCCTGAATGAAGGGATGAAACCTACCTTTTTGAAGTTTTTTTGTGTAGTTTTAGCGCAAGCGAAGCCGCGGGTTCTGCTAGTAATAAATAATTAAGTAGTAATAACAAATAATAAATAAGTAATAATAATAATGAGTAGGTAGTAAATAATAATAAAATAATTGAGAAGTTTTTTTCCACTATTTATAGACCCAGAGTTTTTATTATATGGCACAAAAGGGTGGACCTTTCCAGCACAAGATGTTAAGCTTAGCCTCGTGTATCCAACACGAAGTGTTAGTAATATTTTTTAACTAATAAAATTATTTGATTTAGTAAAAATTTTAGCGTACCTTTATATCCATTTTTCATTTCTTTTTTGACTCAATATCTGTACTTACTATATTTTGATTATAAGAAAAGCTATATTTTTTTAAATATTATATCATCTTCTTATAAATTTGAATTTAAAGGAGGACTTAAAGAGATATTTTAATTTATTTGGAATAAATTTATTTTTCAGAAGCAACCAAAGCCACTTGAAAGAGAATCTGTAGATTATATTTTGACAGAATTTGAAGTGATATTCAATTTCGAAGGAGTTAGCAGTAAGGGATATATTAGTGGAGGCGGTATTTTACAGGTAATTTTTTTTTGTTAAAAATATTTGTACTCACTATCTCAGATTATATAATTTATACTAGCGACTCACGCTCGCTATGCTCGGGGTCGTATTTACGTGATACTTTAAATTGATACATTTTTTTTATTTATGAACCGATTGAAATAAAACAAGCACTAAATTTTACCTGAAGTTACGTTACCACAATACATTAGTGAAAACCGCACCCAAATCGGTAAAGCCGTTTCTGAGATTGACGCGCACAAACGCAGCAGACAAACAGTTTTTTTAAATCATTTTTTTGGGATTCCAATAATAGTTTTTCTCAAATATTTTCCATGTACAGACAGACAGAATTTTATTAAATGTGTAGATTTCACGCAACATTTCTTATCTTTTAAGGAGTGGGACTATTATTACGATGTTTAGATTTAAATCGGCAGATAAGTAGTCTGTGCAATCAGTACCTAGGTACTGCAATTTTGGCCAAACAAATATTGATTTCCATTTACACTTTAAAACATTATAGTGGTGAATTTAGATTAATCAATAGATTAATTAGTTGATCATGATTTAGAATAATTATATTGATGAGTATTTCTTTTTTTAGAGCTGGTTATAGATTATATTTATATTCTTATACTCAGCATGGAAAATATAATATAAGAATTTATAGATTTTATAGAGGGATAATTTTAACTTTAAAGTCATACAAAATATTGGGTTATTATATTTTTTATTAAATAGCATACAAATATAACTCATATCTCATTTTTAATATGAATATTTCTGTATATCAATAACAAAGATTGTATTTTTTCAGAATCACATAAACTTGACCTTCGTATTCACTAACACTACGAGTTTATCGTTCCAGTTCTATTTGTATGGAGTGCCAAGTAGTTTGTTCGGTTTAAAGGGAAATAGTTTCAATCTAAGTGAATCTTTCGTCGATCTTTGCTGATGAATAAGTTGTTTTCGTCATATTAGTAATAGTTTGAAGAACTTTTGAAGTTATACTTCTTTTGGCACGTTTGGAAAAAATATTAGAGTAAAACTTTTACGATGCGCGCGCACACCGACAGCCAAAAAGCGACATGATGAAGTTAGCTGCATTCCTTTTACAAACAGAGAGTTGTGACATACGGGATGAAATCTTTAGCTATTTTTGTTCTGTTACGTCAAAGAAGTATAACTTCTTAGTATGTACATAAGTACATATACATACTTTTTTTTTATTAATTCAAATACATCCTCTTTGTTCTGCGCAAGCAAATGTTTATATAATCTGTTTACTTGCTATGATTTTGAACACAGTAACGGTTTATACAGCCTTCGATTTAAATAATAAAAATGTAATCTCCCAACAACCATTACATTCGTGTTTATTATTTCATAACACACCTGAGGCTAGTCTAGACGTGTAATAAAACCTAAGCTTTACTGGTCGATACTACTTTGACGATTACACGAAAATGTTTACACCTGCTGCCTGATTAATTAGTAGATGGAAGACTTGATGTTTTTTGATATTGGTTTTTGAAGATACTTAAGTCAGATATAGGTACTTTGACTAGAACTGATTGCTATATTTAGCAAAATATTATTTTAAATGAAATCGATTATTAATATTTTACACAGGTGTTATTAATCTATACTTAATATTATAAAGAAGTTAAGTTTGTGAGTTTATGACGTTGTAGGGGGGTAGTCTCTGGATCTACTGAACCGATTTAGATGAAATTTGGTAAGAAGATAGTTTGAGACCCTTTTTTTTTTTTTAACGTTGGGAAATGCATTTACGCACGATGTGTGGGACTCACCGTCGCAGGATCGTACGCATTCAACTACGACGCCCCGACGGCGAGGGCCACCTCCCACCGCCCACCGATGTGGGCAACCTCCCTGTGCGTTTCTTAGCTTCGTACTACTACTACTGAGCCCCCCCACCACGACAAGGTGAACGCACGTTAGGGGGATAGTTTGAGACCCTGGGAAGGACATAGGATACTTTTTATCCCGGAAATTATCCCTTAATAGGGTGAAAATGGGGATGAAATTTTGTATTAGGAAGCAAGCTAGGGACGAACCCGAGCGACGCGAAGGTGAGTCGCTAATATTTGATATACTTATTAAGCGGTATAAATTAACACTTTTTACACAGAGATTAAGCCGTAATGAAATGATCGCAGGTCCAGGCTACTTCAACTTGATAAGAAATATTGTAAATTATAGTTTTACTTTAAAAAAAGATTATACTTTAAGAAAAGATATTGGTCCCGCTGAGTTTCTTTCGCCAGTTCTTCTCAGGTCTGAGGCTTCTTCTTTCCGAACTGGTAGTAGACTCATGACGTTCAGTAAAAAATTGTAATAATTTAATGCTCAGAAGTTTCTTTAGAACTAAATAGGTGCTAACCTTAAGAAAAAAAAATTATTATAATAGCTTCAAAAACGTTGATGTCATGCACGCAAATTATATTATTTCCTATTTTTAATTCATCCATCTCGATATATATAAAATTAAATATATATAAGAACATAATTATTTTAGAAATGTATTATTTGAACGCCAATTCTATAAAATTCAATGGAAACATGAGAGACATACATACATAAATACATATTATTATACATACTTACTAAAATTGAGACCGAGACGCTAACAATTCATCTTCTAAAACTAATATATATATATATATATATATATATATATATATATATATATATATATATATATATATATTAAAACGTCAAATTGATTTTTTTTAAAGTAAAGTGAAGTGAAGTAAATATGTATAAAGGAACTTTATATACAACTCTGACATATAAGTTATTCAATTATGTATTTATCTCGGCATGTTGCGTTATTGGATTTCCACCTGCAACCTGATTACCTCACAAGTTATGAAGTATCGTTAATTTTAATTTGTTTATCGTACTTGAAAGGAATTGATATTCATTAATATATAAGTATCTATTAAATTATTTATGTATTTAAATTACTGTTCTAAGATAATCGGGAAATACTTGTATTTGAATCGCAGATATATTACAAACTAAGTACTTATGTATTGAATAATAAGTATAAAATTTAATTTCAGTTTTATATTATGGTATCAGCAATTAACATACTTAAAATTAATTGTTGCCATAATATGTATTCAGCCCTTTTTAACGTCCCACTGCTGGGCACGGGCTTCCCTTCAGCACGAGGGGAATCAGGCCATAGTCCACCACGCTGGCTAAGTGCGGATTGGCGGACTTCACATGTCTTTTGAAAACTTGCTAGGTTCTCTCAGACATGCAGGTTTCCTCACGATGTTTTCCTTCACCGTTAAGACAAGTAGTAATCATGTTGGAAATGATTCGCACATGAAAATATCAGAGGTGCGAGACCCGGGATTAGAACCCGCTTCACTCGGTTTCCCAAGCGAGCGCGTTACCACTGGGCTACCACTGCCTTTTAAATCTAATGTATCATAAATGTTATTTCAAAATTAAATCTATTTTGATTGTAAAAATGAAAATAGAAATCAATACGTGAAGAAACAAAGATTGTTTCATCAGAATACCTTAAAACGCCTACAGAGTTCGCATAGCAAATTCACTCATCGATGAAACAGTAGAAGAACCACATTTTTATTCTTTCATCATAAAGTAAATAAAAATTAATATAAATGTAAGCAAATAAAGTATATCACTATAATAATACAGAATTCGCATTATTATTATTCTGGAAGTTAAAATATACTTAAACACTCATAATAATGTTCTACATATTAGTTGCTATCCTTTTTGCCCGATTGCGGCGAAGCCCAAAGGAAGGTTATGTGTTTTACCTGTATGTATGTATGTCCGACCCTATGTTCCCTCGTAGTTACGAGTACTAAACGGCTTAATCGATTTTGATGATTCATACGTTCGCCTTGATAACGCGAGTGTTATGGATACTCAGGGTATAAAGATATCACTTAAAATCAAAATAGTGGATCCAATTTGAGTATTCCAAGTTGAGGGTATCAAAATACAGGTTTTTAGAGGCGATTACAAATATATGTTTAAAAATAATTTACGAGAAAAAATTATTAAGCAAAACTAAAAATGTCTAACTGACCAAAACTAAAAAGCTGTACCTAAATAAAAAAATTTACAAAAAAAATCCCCAACTGCGTGAAAAGCGAACTAAAAAGATGAGATCAAGTTGACAAAGATACATAGTATTATGCAGTCAGAGACATATATATGTTATTAGCACTGCCCGCGGCTCCGCCCGCGTTCAAATGACCAAAAACCAAATTCTTAGGTTTTACTAGTATACTCTTACAATGCAGCTTTTGTATTTTTTCTCAGAAATTAGATATTGTCTCGCGGTAAAAAATATCCTATATGTTGACCCGGATAACCAGCTATCAACATACCAAATTTCATGAAAATCTGTTAAGTGGTTTTCTCGTCATGCGGTAACAGACAGACAGACAGACAAACATTCTAAAAACTATAGATTCGGACTCTGTATCGATAATAATGTCTATTTCAATTAGATTTTCCGAAAAATATCTAATGTACAGATTCGACTTAGTTACAATTTTATTATATGTATAGACTATGTACATGCAGTTTTATACTAGCTTCGAGTCTTGGCTACGTGTATTGTATGTCTCCGACTGCATGTTTCTTCGTCAACTTGTTTTCATCTTTATAGTTCGCCTTTTATGCAGTCGGGTTTTTTATTTTTTAAAATTATTTTCTATTGGTAGATACGTATATTCTTAAGAAAAAAAATTGTATTTTCATGTATAGTTGTAAATTATGGTTTTAATGTTTAATGCCTCAATGGTTATATATATCGCTATTGCTATAAAAATAATAGCCACATGCCTTTAGCAAATATATGTAGAACAGAAAATTAACCTGCGACCAAAAACGATAGACTAGTTAAATTATAGATACTTACAACCAGCTGCCATTCGTCCAGGGTTCTCGTCTCCTCCTCTTAGGATGCTCAGCAGACAGGATCCACACCAGCGCCGCCAACAAAATCAAAAACCGGAACACCGTGTTGGACGCCATTTTGTTATTGCACAATGACAAAATGGGGTCACATTTTAGATTTTTCTTTAAAGCCTTTTATAGCAAATTGAATTCCGAATAAATAATTACATTTTTGATCAACTTAATTTCATCTCAAAATAGCTGCACATGAATCTTAAGTTGAAAAGTCTGTTTATACATTTTAAACAATCTTTTCATTTTGATTTTAAATAGCCATTATAATTAATTAATTATATTTATATACGAAATCAGTTAGATGAAGTGTTAGCTGGGACTAATTGATATTGTCATTAATTATGTAAATCGATCTGTACACGTTTTAGCGTGAGGTGGCAAGATGGCCACAATTTAGTTAAATAATGTGTATATTTTTGAATTTATTACGTTAAGGAGTTCACGGAGTTTGGTTAATATGAAACGTTTCGTTGAAGCGTGTATATGTAATTTATTGCATAATATATAAGTATTTGTCTGTCGCTACCACTACATGTGGACCAGTATAAAAAGTAGCATATTACGCTTTCTCCTCAAGTTTATGCAAAAAAAAAACGGAAGTACCTATTTAAAGCTAGGTTGCTGCGTGAAATGATTTATATATGTGACTAGCATTGCCCGCGGCTCTGCCCGCGTTCAGATGACCAAAAACCAAATTCTTAGGTTTTACATAATAGTATACTCTTACAATGCAGTTTTTGTATTTTTTCTCAGAAATGAGATATTTTCCCGCAATAAGAAGTATCCTATATGTTGACCCGGATAGCCAGCTATCATCATACCAAATTTCATCAAAATCCCTCCAGTGGTTTTTCCGTGATGCGGTAACAGACAGACAGACAGATAAAAATTCTACAAACTATAGATTCGGCCTCTGTATCGATAATTATATAAAATATTTCATGTACAGATTCG